CTGGATACTATATCATTGATACAACTAATCTTGAACTAGTATTTTACCAAAAATGAAAAAACAGAGAGGTAACAGGTGCTGGAAAAGATGCTAGGGCCAGGCGGGTCCTGTCCTCCTTTTGCTTTTGACACTGCTGCACTTTGTCCAATGGCCAATGTGGTGCAGCAGCTACACTCTTCTCTAGCTCTGCCCAGAAGCTCTCAAAGTCACAGTTCAGTGGACTTGACGTTAGCAGTTACGGTACATTATTATTATTATTGCCATTTATATAGCTTCCATAGCGCTTTACAATATTATGAGAGGGGGGTTTTAACTATAAATACAAGAAAACTTACAGGAACGATAGGTTGAAGAGAACCCTCCTCAGGAGTTTAGTCTATAGGAGGTGGAGTATAAAACACATTAGGACAGGAAATAGCAATCAAATAAGGTGGGAGTGAAGCAGAGCTGGAGAAGAGAGTAAAGTACAGCCCTTTAGGAGAGAGCAAGAGACAGGTATGTGAGTTAGAGGTTACTCTGGGAGGCCATAAGCTTTCTAGTAGTCTTCGCAAGGAGCAACTAAGGAAGAACTCATCAGAGACTTTGTTAGTGCCATCCATGGGCGTCCGCAGGAATTTTTCCGGGGGGGCATAATTGTAATGACATCCATGCTTGGTACCTTTTTGACAGTGTCATGAAAGGGAAGCGGCATAGCCATTATCACATAAAGCCAGGGTGAATAGCGTTTTCACAACTATGGTGTCAGGAATATATGTTTGTATTCCTGACACTATAGTGTTCCTTTAAGCAAATTAAAGGACCATTCTGGTCACCCCCTCACACCCCTAATCTATAGGCCCCTAATCTATAGGCTGCTGCCCCCCCCTCACTCCCCTAATCTATAGGCTGCTGCCACCCCCTCACTCCCCTAATCTATAGGCTGCTGCCCCCCCCCAGCCTCACTCCCTAATCTATAGGCTGCTGCCCCCTCACTCCCATAATCTAGGCTGCACTGCCCCAGCCTCACTCCCTAATACATAGGCTGCTGCCCCTCTCCCCTAATCTATGAGGTTGCCCCCTCCCTCACTCCTAATCTGGGAGGCTGCCCCCCAGCCTCACTCCCCAATCTCTTGAGGCTGCTGCCCCAGCCTCACTCCCCAATCTGCTTATAGGCTGCTGCATACCAGCCTCACTCCCTAATCATAGGCTGCTGCCCCAGCCTCACTCCCTAATCTATAGGCTGCTGCCCTCACTCCTAATCTATGAGCTCACTCCCAATCATAGGCTGCCTTTACCTCACTCCCAATCTATAGGCTGCTGCCCACCCCCATCCCTCACTCACTCACACCTCATATATATAGGCTGCTGCTTCCTAATCTACTTGGGCTGCTGCTGCCCCTCACTCCCTAATCTGGCTGTTTAAACAGCCCTCCCCCATCCCCACTTACCTGATCTGTAGGCTGTCTCTCTGCTTGGCTGCATGTATTCCCACTTGTTCCAATCAGCAGGAAATTGCAGAAGGGGAATAGATGTAGCTTCCTGTCTCTCTCATACACAAGCGCCACCTACTACATGATTGGCCTTGATGTGCAGGTTCATTTGGCTCTCCCACACGAAAAGAGAAATGTAGAACAAGCTGAAAAACCCCACTTGCTTGAGACGCCCTTGGTGCCATCAGAGTTACACTTTACTGATTAGGTAGAATAGAGTACCTAAGTATTGTCTCCACTGTCTGGTCTGAGATGGTGAGGAATGATTATATTTTTCTTTCCCCTACCGGCATAGACATATGATTAATTTTGTCAAGAGGAGAGGCAGCAGTGCACTATTTTCTGAATATACTGTGCACTTACGTCGTTGTCTAAGTTCATGTCTATTTGCAGTAGAATCACATCATTTAATGAAAACAACTGGAAAATAATTCCCTACTGTCATTGTCTACTACTCCTAGCAGCAACAGCGGCAACATAACCCTAACATAGCAGAGTGTAGTAAATGCAGTTTAGACTGAGGCTGTTGGCAGTTTGCCTGGAGAAAGTTAGACAGCAAGCAGCCAAAAGGAGACAATTAAGGCTTCTCAAATTGCCATAGTTTACCTATGTGAACATGCATTGCCTTCTAGTGAGGACCCTCCTAGTAATGACATTGCTCAAGATTTACCTTCAGAGCACGCAGATTGGTTGGTTTAAGCCAACCAATTAGAGCACTCTGAGTCAAATTGAATGGGCATGGGAAAGCTTTATAAGCCTTTCCTCACCCTGCAGAGCTCAGTCAGCGTAGAGCCCTTGCTGGGTGAAGATGGATTACTTTTTAGAGCTTTTTTTTTTGTTATTAAAAAAAATGTATTAAATCGATGGGCTTTATGTATTTTTATTTGGCCTTTTTTTTGGCTGAAAAAAGAAGATTTTAGAAAAAAGATCTAATGGTAATCATAAATTTTTTTAATTTCCAGGAATTTAGTTTATTGCTCCCCTCCTTACTTTTGTTAGGGTGAGGGAGGTAAGTAGGCTTTAATTTTATGGGGGGATAACTAGGGGTTTGGAAACCCCTAGTCACTGGGGAATGATTATGGGTTTGGCGACCCTAGTCACCAGGGGAGGGCTGGAAGCATCAGACATGGGGGGCAGATCCAGTCAAGTGGCCCATTGCACCCCCGAACCAGCTCACCATCCTTGCCCACCTTTTCCTGGTTTTATAACGGATATTGATGTTATGCTAATCAGTAGCTCTTTGCAATACCCACTCCTTTGTGGCTCCAACTTTCAATGTTGTTTAAGAGCAGGCGGAGAATCTCTGAGCCTGTGCTCTGACTCACTAACTAACCACAAGGGAGAGGATATGATCTAAGGCACCTACTGCTGGTGTGCACCAGTAGACCACTAGGGAGTCATTTAAATTAAAGGGACACTCCAGTGCCAGGAAAACAAATTATTTTCCTGGCACAGCAGGTCCCCTCTCATTCCCACCCCCCATCCCATGTTGCTGAAGGCGTTAGAACCCTTCAGTGACATACCTGAGACCTCCGCCCACGCTCCTCCCCCATTGACGTCATCCGGCGGGGGAGACCGATTGCGCATGCGCGGCCGCCGGCGGGGGAGACCTAATGCACATGCTGCGCACGCGCATTCGATCTCTCCATAGGAAAGCATTGAAAATGCTTTCAATGCTTTCCTATGGGGGTTTTAGCGACACTGGAGGTCCTCACATAGCGTGAGGACGTCCAGTGACGCTATAGCACAGAAAACCTGTGCTATAAACCAGGAAGTGCCCTCTAGTGGCTGTCTAGTAGACAGCCACTAGAGGAGGAGTTAACCTTGCAATGTAATTATTGCAGTTTATGAAAACTGCAATATTTACAGTTGCAGGGTTAAGGGTAGTGGGAGTTGGCACCCAGACCACTCCAATGGGCATAATTGGTCTGGGTGCCTGGAGTGTCCCTTTAATGTGCTGGTGTCCCAAACCTGTGAGCTGTGTTGGCCACCGGGTGCCTCTGTTGTCATGGCACCCTACGTGACCCCACAGCTTGCACACCTCAAAGGCTGGCTCTGCTGACAGACACACTGGCACTCACTCTCAATAGCACACACACACACACAAACCCTGACAGACAAACACTCACAGACAGGCAGGCACATACACACACACACTTCCAGACACACATGCACACACTTCCAGACACACACGCGTACACTTCCAGACAGACAGATACACACACTTACTGACAGACACACACTCACTTCCAGACACACGCACACACACACTCACTCACTTCCAGACACACACCCTCACTGACTTCCAGACACACACACACTTCCAGACAGACACACACTTTCAGACACACACACACACTTCCAAAAAACACACACACACTAACTTCCAGGCACACACTCACACACACACATTCACTTCCAGACACACACACACACACACACTCATTTCCAGACACAGACACACACACACACACTCACTTCCAGACACACACACACACTCACTTCCAGACACATACATACACTTCTAGACACACACTCACAAATTCCTTGTTACTCCTACCTTTAGGAGTCCTCTGGGTCCTCTCCCCGGGGTCCAGTGACTTCCTGCTTCTTTCTGCTCCCTCACGCAGTTTACTGATGCGGAACCGGAATGACGTCATATTCCGGCTCCCGGCATCACCAGAGAGGGCGCGCAAGGGAGCAGGAAGATCAGTAGAGGCAGTGCCTGCCTCCTTCCTCATGAACAGCGGCCGGTATAGTCCTGCAGAGTAGGCACCTGCCATCTGGGACAAGCAGGTGCCTACTCTGCCTTGCTACCAGGGCACCCTAGGTGGCCCTGCTCCGTGCGGCACCCCCCTCCTCCTGGCGCCAGGGACCGGCCCCACAGCGGTCGTTTTTTAAATTATTTAGGGCGGCCTGGGGGGCAATTGCCTCCCTCCCCCCGGCCCAGCCCGCCCCTGCTAGTCACTGGGAGGGTGGGGGGAGTGACTAGAGGCTTGGGGACACCTAGTCACTTGGGGGTTAGTTTAAGAATTAAACACACAAAACAAATTAAGAATGTAGCGCTTATGTGTAAAGAAATTAATCACCTTTTAGAGTTTTTGGAGCAAAATTTCACTGGAAAATCGGCAGGAAAAGTGTCTATAAAAGATAATCATACATAGTATAGATCACACTTATATACATTTATTATTAATAAATAGTAGATAAACTCACAAACGGAGAGCTATGGACTTAGCTCTAGTTTGAATAGCCTCTGGGTCCATACAGGTGACCCACCCCTCCTCACAATGTATTTCTGTGGTCTGTGGATGAATAGAAATACACCAAATTGCGCAGTATAGTTTATAATATCTCTGAGAAAATATATATGGTCTTTAAGTGGGTACTCACAAGTGTGGAGTCAAAATATATTGACTCAATTTTGTAGCGTTGTGCAGATTCGGGACTGCACTCCCCGTTCAATATAACGATATCAGGAACCAGGATCGTTTAAAAAGTAATAAAAGATTTTATTAATACACTTATATATATAAATAAAAAAGCCTCAATGTGCTTAAAAATACCGGTATTTTTAAGCACATTGAGGCTTTTTTATTTATAAAAAAAAAAAGTACCCACTTAAAGACCATATATATTTTCTCAGAGATATTATAAACTATACTGCGCAATTTGGTGTATTTCTATTCATCCACAGACCACAGAAACACATTGTGAGGAGGGGTGGGTCACCTGTATGGACCCAGAGGCTATTCAAACTAGAGCTAAGTCCATAGCTCTCCGTTTGTGAGTTTATCTACTATTTATTAATAATAAATGTATATAAGTGTGATCTATACTATGTATGATTATCTTTTAGACACTTTTCCTGCCGATTTTCCAGTGAAATTTTGCTCCAAAAACTCTAAAAGGTGATTAATTTCTTTACACATAAGCGCTACATTCTTAATTTGTTTTGTGTGTTTAGTTTAATAGGAATCTCTGAATGTTTAGCAGCTATTTACTATTATAAGTTATATTTGTATTTAATATTTTCTTTTTGTACAAGCGCTGGTTCCATCATCTATATCAATAGTTTAAGAATTAGCCCCCAACCATTGCCAATAGGTGGGAACGAGGGGGTAACAGTAGTTTCACCCCATTTATGTCACCTAGGGCCCCCACCTGCCACTAATGTGTGGGGGCTGGAGGGGTGGACAATAAGTTCCTCATTTGTCAGTTAGGGCCCCCATTTAGTGCCAAAGGGTAGGGGCTGGGGTGGAAACAATAAGTAACCTTCTTTTCTCATTTAGGGCCCCCACCCACCACTAAAGGGTAGGGGCCGTAGGGGGAGACAATAGTTTCCCCCCCCTTTGGTCACTTAGGGCCCACACCCACTGCTACTGGGTGGGGACCGTTGGGGACACTGAGGTCCCTGGTTTAGTTTAAAAGATCCTACTTGCAGGACATGGGTGGAGGCTAGGGGGGACACTATATTCCCACCTTTAATTATTATAATGGGTGTCTAACAATGGGGGCACTTTATTGGATTCCGGGGGTGTCTTTTTTTTTTTACTTTACTTTAGTATACATTTTACTTTAGTATACATCCCACTACTCGCGACATAGCGAGTAGGGGAGGAGGGAGATTTTAATCTTTCGTATGCTAATTCGAGGCATTTTTTTCTTAGTATTAGTAAAGTTTTCCGAAAGACCAACTTTCTCCAAATGAAATTCCAAACAGAACAAAATGACCAAATTTCATGCGAATACCAATGGGCAAACTGTTTACACGAAATTCTGTCAATTCTGTCAATTCGCCAAAGCCCTGTCTATATGACAGGACGCTCGGGAATAGTGAAATTAGTCATTGCGAGAACATGGAGCAAGGTGAGTGTTGTGTGAAAATTTCTCTGACCACAGGAAATGGAGCAGACTTAAGCTCTTCCTTTTGGGCAAAGAAGGTCAAATGTAGGAAAAATACATAAGTCCATACTTTGTCTTAGAAAACTAGATCAGAAAGGAAGAAAATAAGAACAGATTCTGAGAGAGGAAGAGAATAGGAAGCAGTAGGAGAAAGGCAAGTTTGGCAGGACAGTGCTGCTTTAAGACAAGCTTTTTTATGATGAAAACACCTTGGTGAAAAACCACTTACTGCATTCAATTAAGTTTTTATTTCTATTCTAGGTCACAGCAGCAGACCCATTGATGGCAGGTGTGGGCCCTAAATAATAGTGAGGGGACCTATTGTCCCCTCAGGTCCCACTGATTGATAGTGTATTGGGACCCTAAAAGATAATGAGTAGGACTGTTGCCCCCAGCCCTCACCCATTGGCAGCTGGTGGGGCCCCCTATAATATTACTGTGGGCCCTAAAAAATAATGACAATAGGTCCACTTCCCCTTTTATTATTTAGAGCCCTCACATGCCGTAATGAGTGGGGGGCTGGGGAGGGACAATAGGCCCAAAAATTATCATTTAGTGCTTCCACCTGCTACCAGTGGGTGTGGGCTGGGGGGACAATAGGTCCACTGCATTATTATTTAGGGCTCTCATCTGCTAACAATGGGTGGGGGCTGGATGGGGACCATAAGACCCCCATTATCATTTAGTTTCCCCACCCACTGCCAATGGGTGTGGGCTTGGAGGGTCAATAGGTCAACCATTATCATTTAAGACGATACATACGCAGCCAATGGGTTGGGGATGGGGTGGACAATAGGTCCCCCCATTATTATTTAGGTTCCCCATTTGCTGCCAATGGGTGGGGGGACAATAGGCCTACATAGTTCACCCACCCATCACTAGGGGTCCCACGGGTCATTTATTTTAACCCCTTAAGGACACATGACATGTGTGACATGTCATGATTCCCTTTTATTCCAGAAGTCTTGTCCTTAAAGGGTTAATAGGTGCCCCACCTGTGCCATGTCCCCCTTTTCTGGACTAGTAACAGCTGCCCAGTCGTTAATTTTTTTTTTTTGCAACCCCACAAGGGTATCACTTTAGGGAGTTATCTACTAAACAGCTGCAAGATGCAGCCACGGCCCAAATCACAGTTAAGAGCTTCTAGTGCCTATGTCTGACATTATGATGTGATGTGCAACTCATCATTGGACCCAGGCAGCACAATGTCTTGGGCTGTCCCTGATTAAAAGGAAATGCTAATCAGAACACCTTGATCTATATATATCAACTATTATGAAATTGTTCTTCCAGGTATGATGCACATCGGAATCAGCATCACGTAGCATACTATTTAGTATGCAAACAAGGGAAGTTCCTATAACATTTCTTCTAAATTTAGCTTTGGCAAGAACATCTGCCTTATATATAGTGTTTTCCATGAGAGGCTAGAAAATCTATTGAGGAGCGGTTATGTTATGGACCAAGAACAAAACTGATATCAGAGAACTCACTGGTTAGTTTCACTAATGCTCTTTCTACTTTAATTTCTTGTCTGCCCATTGTTTTCTACTTTCTTCAATCTATTACCTTTTATTTCTATTACTGCATATGATCTTGATATAACATACATTTTTCTATTAACATATCTTAATGCTTTTGATGCCTTTTTTTGTGCAAGAAATAGTATTGTTGTTGTTGTTGTGTTCACAACTGGTTTGCATAATAAAGGGTAGATTACTGTGCCCAGTTGTCATACCCTTCCTCCACTAACCTAACATCCAGCAGCTTCCACTCCACTTTATTAATAAGAATGATCAAATAAGAAAATATCTCTCCACACAACCACCCTCTCCCACTCTATTTTACTTCCGCCCTATTTCTTTTTATCCTCTACCCACTACCTGAATGCATATTTCCACATGTACTTAAAGTAAAAACACACATATACCTATACTCAAACAAACATAGATACACATAGAACTTAAACTTAGATAATTATAGATGTATACTGCTTAGTCAAACATGTTTATACATAAGTGATGAAATGTCTTGCGTAGTGACAGGAGAAATGAAAGTTAGAGCACAAGAAGATAGATTTAAATGTACCATAAAGTGTATGAACTGATTAGGTAAAACATTAATTTACTTTAAGTGATTTATCCTCCATGGGAAACACAGCTATATTAACTAGAAGGGAGTCCCCATCTTAAATGGTTTTGAATGGTTTGAAACAATTTAGTGAGATTGGAAATTGTACTCTGTGAACTAGCTGATTATCTATATTTTTTTTGCAATAAAATGTAAATTAGAAGTGATTTTAAGATTATATGGTCTATAATTACACCAAACTGAAGAATAGCATGCTTTCATTTTTTGACTTGACTTTTTAAAAATTATTCATATTTCATATATTTTCTCTTTGCTTAAAATAGGTATAAATCTAGGCTCACAGGTTGCAGTTGATCAAGAACAATGGATTTCAATGAAACAAACATGACCGGTCTGAATAATACCACATACGACGATGGTGGTTATAGTCCGGATGCATATATACATTTTACTATAGCATCTGCTGTGGCTATAGCTCTATGCCTCTATGGAATTGTGGCAAATATTGTTGTCTTCTGGTTGCTTGCCTTCAGGATAAAGAGAAGCAAATATACTGTTTATATTATCAACCTGGCAGTAGCTGACTTCATCTTTCTATTACTTACTGCTCTAATAATGATGTTATATATAAACACACTAATTGGTGTAAACTCTACTTTTACCGGAAAAAAGACTCTCTATACATTTATAGAAATATTTTATGATACTGCTCAGTATTCAGGAATGTTCTTCATCACAGCTATTAGTATTGAACGATGTCTCTCAGTGAGCTTTCCCACATGGTGCCATTGTTACCGACCAAATAACTTATCGACCATCATGTGTTTTCTCCTCTGGTTTGTTGGCTGCTTAGAAAGTCTTATTGAAAATTTTGCATGTCCTCCAGAAGATTTTGCGGCTCAGTCAAACGTATGTACAGGAGTTGAGCTAATGACATTTAGTATAGGGGTTGGTATTTGCTTGCCATTGATGATCATTTCAAGTCTTACACTACTAATCATGCTACAGAAATTCAGAAAGAATATTTCAATAGTACTTTGCATACTCATCATCATTGCAGTCTTGATCTTTATACTGTTTGTCATTCCATTCAACTTTGTATGGTTTTTAATGTATTTTCAGCTTTTGAGTTTAGATGTTCAGTATGTCAGTTTGTACTATGCCAGTGTGTTTAGCACTGCACTGAATAGTACGATCAGTCCTTTTATATATTTATTTACTGAGCTCAAATGGAGAAAACATGTCTCCATCCAAGAAGATGAGAAAGAAATTCAAACCAGCAGTGACAAAATATCAGATGTAATGTCAAAGTAGTTTTAGAACAACTCTGGAAAACATCTGCAGGTCCATTATGTGACAAAGATCGACTTGTTTTGGTTTTTTATTTTTTTTTCAGTTGTTTTATGTGACTTTGTGCAGATACAAATAGACACAGCTGGTTGTGGAAGCCCTGCATTCACGTTTGAAAATAAAAAGTACATTGGAAATGATTAACAGTGTAAGTCATTAAAAAGAATATGCTGTAGATCTTCATGCTAGAAAGTTTACAGGTGACTCATGATAATTGTAGAGACAGTTTTGAAGGAAAGGAGATCAGGTGTGCTTTA